GTGTAGTTACAAATCACAGCAATCAAGCAGATAAATTACACAAATTGCATAAATCTGGTATTAGTAAATAACAATTTTAAATACATACATCATTTCAGAGGTGAAATTCATTAATATTATGTTCTGCAACAACAGGTATAAATCCTAGGTTGATCAGCTCAAGAGAATGTTTTCATTCAATATCTTCAATACTAAGAAATGTTGATTCAGGTGCACATTTGTATTTGATTGCACAATATATTCTTAATAATTAAGACGAATGTTTTAATTTATTTCATTGAAAAAAAAAACTTGGGCTACTTAAATTGTGCAAAAATAAGAGTGAACATTGACTGAAAGAGTAGGTAAAGTGTTTGTGTCAGGATACTTGATAATTTATTTGCCAATCATCTTGGTATTTTATCACGTAAATACTCTAGTAATGCTGGAGTGCCTTTAGCTAAGATAGCTGCCCTGGGGTTTCGGAATGGATTACCTGCAAGCTGAAGTGATCTGAAAATAACCAGAGATTAAATTACTCAGTATCAACTCTTATTTTATGTCCTTTATACACATGTATGTAGGACTGCTATCAAATGTGCCACTACAATATTTGTAGATAATCATCAATTGGTTCCATATAGTATTTAATATATTTATAGGGAAGAAATGTGTTAACTCCATATTGATCATGCAGTATTCAAGGCGGCCCACATAGAGTAAATATCGCTTTTATTTTAAACCAGCTGACTGTGATTTAATGATATTATAATACCTAAAACATATCAACAGAATTGTTTAGTTTCAACATATAGACTCTATTCAGCAGCAACTAGGATTTATTGACCTTGCTTTAGAAGAATGTTTGATTATTATATTCATAACTCTAGTGCATTGTGAACATACTGTATATGGAATCAGGTTGATTTATCAGAGGATCAATATAAGTAACTATCTCCAGCATAAAACATTGCTAAAGTGAAATTTTATGGTATAGCACCAGCTAGAGGCAAGTATTGTATATCAGATTTAGTGAGATACTGCAGTGAAAGTTGCCACCATTCGTGGCTATTTAAGTCACATGCTACATTGTAGCTGTGTCCAATGTAAATATAGGGAAGTGTTTTAATGTGATGTAAATATTTTCTAAATAAGGACATTCAAACGCATTTCCAACACATGTGGTCGAACAAATTTAATTGTTTTTACTGTCAGATGTATAATAATGGTATTTACAAGGTATGTAATGGCAATCTTGAGCGTCACCTGAGCATGTTCAGAAAAAATCTGAAT